ATTTAGAAATATAGTAAATTCGTGTATGATTATTGTATATTTGCTGCCTAATTTTTTTTCAGTCAAGATTTTGATTGGGGGGTAAACGAATTTATATTTGCTATCTGAGATTTTTGACATCATTCTCTATCAGGTGTTGGTTCATGAAATTGGACATGCTCTCGGCATAGCACATAGTGCTTCTCCGAATGCTATTATGTTTGCCTTCTATCAGCATGAGATTCGTGGTCTAGATGTTGATGATATAAATGCAGTACAATATCTATATGGAAGAAAAAACAAATATGATTCAATCCCAACGTCTACCACCGCATCAGCAATACCAAAAACAACAACAACTATAAGATCTACAACTCGTAAGCAGCCGATCCTCAAAAATTTGTGTGATATTATTCCAGATTTTATGTTTTTAGCTATTGCTCCAGAGTTTTCAAATTACCGATTATATATTGCACATGATATGTTTATATGGAAACTAGACTTAAACGAAATGATTATCCCATCTCAGCCTGAACTTCTTGTCGATTATGTTCCTACAGAATTACGTCAATACACTTTACAACATATTTTCCAATCAACAAACGGTGACTTGATTACCATTGTGTCTCCAAACAACTATTTCTCAGCATCATTCCCTACCATTAAATTTCTTGATAATTTTTCAATTGATATACCCGATAGGGCTCGAATCAATGCTATTTTTCAATCAAACGCAGGACGGTCCTATACCTTTTATAATAATATGTCATATATAGAATTTTCTAACGATTTTACTGATGTGTTGAACAGAGGACGGATAAGAGACATATTTCCTGGGTTACCTGAAGTTTAGGGAAAAAATTAAAAAACAACCAGAACTGAACCGTGAAATACATAATTTGATTCTTGTCTGTCATGAACCAAATCAGTTGTCGAACAATGATTTGAGTCGATTAGTATCAACATCTAAAGTACTCCCTGATATGTAGTTTTATTGAAAATACCTCTGGTTTGCGAAATAATATTGTCGGAATTTCTTGTTGCAAGTTGTTCAAGCGCGGGTATTCAAAACATGGCACACACACACACACCAATCAACCTTATTGTTATATATACTATATGTTTCAATAAAATATCCATTATACTATTTTCATTTTGAACGGTATCATCCTGTATAATAATAACAGTACATCGTATACAGGTTATGAGACATTCTGACCGACCGACCGACCGACCAGAGGAGCCCACCACGCTATTTAGGTCACGCCTTGCTATATACGATTTAACGATATACCGTCGGTCCATCGATCCGCTATTTTTCGATGCACCCCTGTATACACGTTGCCCCCCGTAACGCCAACACCAGACAGGTGCGGCATCGGCGCCATCTATGCGCGAGATGCCCAACCCATCAATGGCAGTTGTCCAATGACACATAGATTCCGTTTGGTTTGTACAGCGCCAAACAAATCGGCGCCATCTATGCGCGAGATGCCCAACCCATCAATGAGAGGTGTCCAATGACACATAGATTCCGTTAGGTTTGTACACCGCCAAACAAATCGGCGCCATTTATGCGCGAGATGCTCAACCCATCAATGACAGGTGTCCAATGACGTATGACAGATGACGTGTAACGCCATCTATGCGTGAGATGCCCAATGACGCATGACAGGTGTCCAATGACACACAGATTCCGTTTGGTTTGACAGCGCCATCTAGCGGCGGAATCCCCAACTCATGAATACAGATTCCGTCCAACAACCTGTCAATGGCGCGCGACGCCAGCGCCTCTGGTGGCGGATTTTGGAAGTTTTGAGACCGAATCCCCATAAGACATCTACTGACTTAGTCTACGCAACAATTTTTCCCTATTTCCTTTTACAATTTTTCTGGTCTTTCAAACTTTTATTCAGTTCTCTCATCCGGAACAACATCCTTGACCTGAAAAAATAGGTTTTTAGCTTTTTCAGGGCAGCCTATGAAATTCTGCTTTTCTGTCACTATTCCGTCCACATTGAATGAAGTAAACACCTTGTTCAGCTTCTGAATTTGATTCATGAAAGCTGTGTAAGGTTTTGATAATCCACCCTCACTAAGATGGTCTATCCAGGAATAAGTTTCATTTGAGGAACTTTTCAGCCTCTCATCCTGCAATTTATGCCAAACAAAGCCTGACAAATTTTCCAGCCCGTCATACTCGAGCTCGTCTATTTCTTCCACTAAAACTTCCTCGTTATAGTCAGCTGATACGTCAGGTGCATTCAGTTTATTCGTTAATGATGCGATTAGTGCAATGTCTGGAGTATCCTCTGACTCTACACTTCAATACTCTGAGTGTGCGCCTTCCTTTCGCCCCAAAATACATGGCCTTTTATTCTATACTTAAACTTTTCCCCTAATTACTCCGAAAAAGTTTTCTATCACATCTTGATTGAGACTTCTTGTTAACACGTATTGCACGCTGAAGCGTCGTTTCAGATCCTCTAGGAACATTTTTAGAGCGGAATTAGAAAGGATACCTGAAAAAGTTCATAGCTGTTATTATACTGATTTTCTTTTGTGAATTGTGTCGCAAACCCTAGCGCTTTTTACATTGACTTTGTCTTTTCTTTTAGTAGGATATAGCCATTTTTTGCTAAGGTTTGAGCCTTGAGGAAAAATGTGGAACTTCACATCTTTGCAAGGATTCCGTTTGGATTGGTAGTCGGAATTATCCCACAACAGCACATCGCATTTTTATCAATTTATCAACCACAAAGTATGTATAGCTAATACAAATTCACCAACAAATCAAACCATATAATATTAACCACGAGACACGTGCACTGCAGTGACGTTACGACAATCCTGCCGCTGGTAACGGCGAGCCGACAACTCTCAAAGTGACGTCACGAAACCCTGCCCACATGCGCAACGGGTATTACGTATCTTGAAAAGTGACATAATGTTGTTTTTTTGCGACATTAGGTAGGTTCTTATACAATATGTTAACTTAGCACTAACTGATTGCCACGTCGTGAACTCGTTTTGTAGTTAAACGTGTTGCCTAAACTTCAGTTATCAATATTTGGCTCTGATGTGATGTAAAATCTGCTTCAGAGGTGGCATTACTGCAGGTCTAGGCTGTAAGTTGTATACTATAGCTAGAAGGAAACGGGGATGCATAGCTGCAAAGTGAGGATTTGTATGCTAATAATATTTTGATGATAATTCCATTCGATTCTTGTCTCAAATACATTTGTTTGAGATTCAAAGCTAGAAATTAGTTGCGCATCAACTTTTTCTTATCCATTCTGGAAATTACATATATATGCAAATTTGCTGAATTTCAAAAATGAGAGAGATAAGATATAGGTAATTATATTCACTGTACACTGTCGAATTACAAGGCGTATAGATGCTGACTGTAATTACACACAACGCGGGGGCGGTGGTGATTTCCCGTAATTCCCTTTAAAGTGTTTGAAAACACAAAAAACGTAAAAAATCGTAATTTATAACTTTGAACATAACCTGCGTCAGAGTCAGCTAATAGATTTGATATACTTCATTGGCAACATATTCTTTAATGCTTTTCTCACAAAGCAGATATCACTGATTTTATACACATGCAAACCAAAACTTAGTTGTATCGATACTATTCACGAGTATCGTCATCTTTTCGATCCCGATTGTGCCAGAAATCGTGACTAACATTCAGATTGCTCTTGTTCTTTGTTTTCTTCTGCTGGTGCTTATCACTTCACAACCTCGTACAATTTATTTTGTGTTCCAGGATTGAATCATTAGGGGGTATCTCGCAGAAATCAGCGAATTTTTATTTCAAATTTGGGACATTTTGTTCTGGGGGGTTCTATTGGGGAAACATTTTACTGAGGAGGTATTATTATGTAAAATTTCATTAATGTCATTACATAATGTACTTGTTATCTATGTATTTGTCTTTCGTTTCGAAACAAATAGATACATTTACCTTTTGGGGTATTTAGCGACATACAAAAATATGTCACTCAAAAAAATATTTTTAGGTGCAAGAATACCTACAGATCCTAAGCCTATGGTAACAAAAGATAAATGGTATTTTTTGGGGATGTTTTTTGAAAAGTCCTGAATTTAGGGGAGTTTTACATTTTGATTGGGGAAACCGAGCTAAACGGCCTGTCAACCCCGTTGGATTCGGTTTCGGGGAATTACACACACATGACTCGCAGTGTTCTTAGTATTGATTGATTATTGGTTAAACATTAGACTTTAAAACAATACATGATTGTGATAGTGTTGCTTCCTGTAAGAAGCAGTTTGTGGAGCTATTTTGTAAAATCGAGTTTAGCTGCGAGATGTAAGTTATGCAATTATGAGTTTTTTTACCTACTTTTCTTAGTGAACATATTTAACAATCTAGTCATGTGTCATGCACTTGAAAAAAGTAAATATTATTTTGAGCGTTACAGAAAAAATAACTTCGATTTTTGGCACTGTCTGTTCCCGTAGTGATTTCGGACTTCGGAGGTTTCGATACTTGTGGTATCGATATTTTTATTCCGATCGAAGTATCGATACTTAATAAAACCATACGAATCGATACATGATATCGATACTTTTCGTGGATCCACACATCCTAATTAACGGGTGCTGCCACCAAGCAGGTACATTTTAGCTTCCGCTATTTCATGGAAGAGAACTAGCTTTAGGGATATTTTACGCTAATAAATTTATTAATCAGTAGATGTCTCGTCAGCTAGTCCTATTCTGTATTTGCAGCGAAAGTTGCACATTTTAGTTCACTATCTTCTATGCTTAGTTTAGTGTATTACAGGATAGATGGCGTTTTTAGAAGTATAATAATAGCGAATCAACAAAAACAACAATTGCTCACGTGACCCATAACGTCCGCTAGCTACGCCCTATTTCCATACCGTCTTCATTAACTTGAAAGAGTTACTCCACCAGTTTCTGTCTCGCTATGTGTCTGTGCTTGACAGTTTGACAGATTAGCAAACGTCAACCATCATGCGACTATGGTTCTCTCTTTGGAAAACAAAATTTTTCTAAATTATATTTCGAGAAAATTAAAATTAAAAGATCGTCGCCGCTCTACGAGAAATTTGAAAAGGAGGCTCAGGAGAAAACGCAGCCAAGAACGTTACTACTCGTCATTACGAAAAAGCAGATTTATCAGGGAGGCAGAGGAGCTTTTCACTAGTATCCAAATTTTTGATCCGGCTGATATGGAATGGACATCAGTGAACAGTGGGCAAGCGTTACCGTCAGAAATTTTGGAATGGCAAAACAGGGATCAAATTGCATATTGGAAGTCCCGAGCTATAAGTTTAGAGTACGAGAATCGAATGCTTAAGCAGCACCTAAGAAATGTGTATGCCCAGACTATAGAAGACTATTCTAAACAGTGTGAAATGGAGGACGATGATTCCGGTAAATATTCGAACAGATCTGAAGAAAAAAATCGCCAAAAAAAGGCTAGTTGTAGAACGAAAAAGAAACTGGTTACCCCTAACCTTCCTGAATCCAAGCAACGAGCTGATGATATGAAGAAACTGTATGGAGATAAATCTCAGAAGATTATGGGCATGGAAACAGCAATGCAGCTGGATTTTGAAAGGTGTAAGGAGCAAGGAAAACCAAGCTATTGGCCAAATTTGCCATTGAAGTTGAGATTTGAGTGATTAAACTACTGTATTAACAATATAATTTGTATTTTTTCTACATTTGTATGGTATCTATACTTTTCAGCACAAAATAAAATACTGTTGATTATTTATGATGACCGAAGATGCACAGTCAAATATGAGAATCTATTATTTTAAAAACTCTAGGTAATTAAGTTACGAAAATGCTCAAAAGTGATTTAGGGTAGGGGCACAGTATATGCCTAATTACAAAAAGCCTGACTGCTAACTGAAGAGCATTAATTTCTGATTCTAATATCAAGGCGAATATAAAAACATGAAATGTCAAAATCTATCATGCCGTTTGAGCTATAGCACATGAAAAAGAAATTTCTAAGTTTCAAATCCGCATTTTGATTTTATTAAATTTTGGTCCACTGACACCATGATGTAGCCACCACTATCTCCTGGTGGGTAGTGCACTCACCACAAAATGTTAAAAGACGCCAGCTATCAAGAGATAACTGAGTCTTCCTTCATAGTATTTTCTTAACATGTTTTGCTATAAGGATTTAGTGCAGGGCGTAATCAGTAGTATACAGGGTGGCGCATCGAAAACGAAACAGACGCATTTACTGGCAGCTCAGTATTTTTTTTTTAAAAACGCTCAGACCCGTCGATTTTGGTAAAACCCTATAACAGAGTGAAGTTCAATACCTTTGAACACATCTACCATTTAAAAAAAAATGTTCACCACATCCTGAAACTTGAAGATTTTGAGCAACAAATAATGATAATAACATATTTACGGATGGACCATTTCACAAATATATACCAATACATCATACATTACCTTAAAACTATTTTCATTACTGAAGTTTTAAGATTGTTAAAATTGAAATTAAAAATATCCAATGTGGGTGATAAAAATCATTTGCCTAGTTTTGTGAAAATTAACAGAGAACAACTGGTTTTGCTTTGTTTGTCTGGCTGGTACACACCTTAATTTTAGATAAAAGATCTGCGAAACATATCAATCCATGACAACTTATACAAAGTGCAATTATCAAAATAAATCCTTCGATTTTCCAGGGAAACTATACTTAATACATTATTCAAGTCAATTTGTTCTGATGGCATTTTCAGTTTAAAGGGGTTTTTTTACACCGAGCAGGCAGAAGAATAAATGCCAGGCTACCGCGGCTGATGAGGATACCAAAGAAACTTTAATCCGATTTTTGAACTGCCTAAGATTAGTAGAACTGAGGAACGCCTCCCTAGGTACAAAGGAGCGGTCGTATCGGCTAGTTCTGGATGTACTAAGTTCGACACGGTTAGGTTGGGAGGCCGAAGTCAGGCGGGTGTGCCTGGCAGGCAAATCGTATGACGATATCATGGAGGAGAGCTCTGAGGAGCAAAGCCCGTTGGTGTAGCTGTAGAAGAGAACTAGATCGCCGACGGCCCGTCGGTGCAAAAGGAGGAGTCATCGTCAGTCGGACAGTCCTCCTCTGGACAGCATCGAGCATGGATAATGTAGTCGGGGTGGCAGCACCCCAAACGTGTGAGCAATAGTCGAGGCTAGGTGTTATGTGGGCCTTGTATAGAGTGAGGTGGTCGTGCGGAGAAAAGTACTTCTCAGCTCTAAACAAAGAGCCTAGCTTTTTCCCGCAGCTGCCGCGATCGACGATATGTGTGTACCTGCCAAATCAAGTCATCGGTGATCTGGACTCCGACCAGCTGAAATGAACGGATCTTTGGAAGAACTCGGCCATCCATCGAAACCGGATGAACGTTAGGTCGCTTTGTACTGTGCTTTGGAAGCATTAAACTGTACACGATTGTTGCGTCCCCAAGCAGTGGTAATCTCGTCAGGGTCGCAACTAGCCTTTTTTTCCGGCTCGCCGGCAGAGATCGGCCTGTCGCTCTGAATCCATGTATGTAGAGTGCTGTCATCAGCAAAGCTGTGGATTGGATTGATGATGCAGGAAACGAGGTCGTTGATATGTAAGAGGAACAGCGTCGGGGCCAAGTTCGATCCCTGGGGAACACTCGTGTTGCGGCCAGAGAGAAAGTCAGCCTCCCATCTGCAAAGCTTGTCTAGGAGGCCATAGGATGGAAGCTTGAATAAGAGGCAGCGCCATGAGCATCACCATCAGTCTGGATGAGCTTACTCTACAATAGCGTGACGTAAGCTAGGAGGTTCCATGTGGATCGGTGGTGCCGGAAACCATACCACTTATCAAGCCGTCACGTTCGAGGTAGTCCACAAGCTTGCGATTTATGCACGCATAGCAATATTCCTGTAATTGTGAGGGTCGGTCTTAGACCCCTTTTTTTGGGATAGGTTGGACATGAGCAAATCTCCAGTTTCTGGATTCGACGTCAGCTTGTCTGTTTTCCACATTGGGGTTTTGTAAGCAGATTTTGTGTTCTTGACCTTCTGCTAAAGAGCAGTGTTGCGCGATTTATTGAACCAGTCGTTGGACCCTGGTTTAGGCACTCTTTACTGTATTAGGGATGTAAGTTATGGAATCCTGTTGGTAACATAACTATGTGGTACAAGCACATTATTCCAACAAATTGAATTGTATGGCAAGCAAGCCCATTAAGAAATATTTGCTTTTTACTTCTTTTTTTCGATACAGCTCTGTTATTTTTCCTATACAGATTAGAATTATATCGAGGCACAGACAGATTTTGTTCAATACTTGTAACCACTCTTCGTTCCTGCAATAAAGTCTGTTATTTTTTTACCATACGACGTAAGCATTCTTTATCTTGTATTCTTCCGTCCCAAAGTCACAGAAAGTAAAGGTGGAGAAGAGATCTATGAGCCCATACCGCACGGGTACTACGTATCCCGAAAAGTGACGCTATACCGATTTTTTTTGACATCATACTGTTTTTTTTGACATTATGTAGGTGTTAACTTAACACTAGCTGATGGACACTGTTGTAAACTCGTTCTGTAGTTGTACGTGTTGCCTTAACGTTATGAGGCTTCAGTTATCAATGTTTGGCTACGATGTGATGTAAAATCTGTCACTGATTTTATACACATACAGACCAATACACACAATCATCCACATGCGATCTTGCTGTTCAACCAGATAACCATGTTTCTTCTCAGAGACTCAGAGATGAAAAGTATAGACCACTCGGCTTCACAAAAAATATGCAACCAACAATGCGTGTGTACGTGCAGTTGAGCCATTTCTCCATAGATTGAGGTTCACAACGATCCTAGTGAGCAAACGTGGAATGACCTAGTCTGCAAGATGACATGTCATAGGTTTTTTGACGTTTTATAGGTTTTTTACATGATACACGAATTATGTAGTCGGAACTTCAAACTCCGTTTTTAAAAAAACTTGATTTGGTTCCAACAATAGTGTACATGGGCCAAACCGGAATTACAGTGTGTGTGTTCGCTGTGACTGAGATTGAATGATTCATAATTAAGATAAAATCGTTAATATAAACCAAAAGTGATGAGCTAGTAAAAAGGAATACAATTAATAAAGTGTTAAATGACAGCAACATACATAACTCCCGTGTGGGTCGGCATGTCCGTAATGCCAATTTTTGCGACCTGGTCGAGTTTCTGCTGCCACAGTGGGTTCTGACCGAAACCTAACCACCACAAAACCATGGTCTGAGTTACCCAGGGGAGACAGGACAGCAGTGCTGTAAGGGTCAAAAAGAGATCCTGTAGGTTACCAGCGTGTAACGAAACGCGGGGAGAAAAGTAGGGCTCGTCCGCAGGTGGGACAGTCCTTGGGTAATAGCTAACGCTTCAACTGCACGACCTGCTGCATCGGTCTTGTTTGAGCTTATTATGGGCATTGAAATCACCGCCGACAACTAGAGTAAAGTCGGCATATATGGAATTTTCCATAATTTTAAAACGGGTTTCTCCATCTCTAAGGTGATGATGACATTAGAATTCTTGTTAAAATCGTAGACTGTTGGCATGAAATAAAATTGCCGCTAGACGATAGCAACGCCGAAAAAGTTGAGGTTATGGTTTCCACATGTTTAAAGTTTGTGCACGGTGTAAATTAAAATCGTTTTGTGACTACATTTTGTTTAAATAAAGTTGATTAAGCACAAGGTAAGTTGGTTTAGGCATAATACGGTAGAAATTTTAACGAGTTGCTTTGATATTTTTCATGATAACAAATAGAGTACTTGTTTTGTGTACTTTTTGTGTAACGTGTAATATGGAATATTCCATATTATCCCCCCTATTGCTATCCCATATTACCCGCTAAGTATAAAGTAAGGTTTTTTTTATTTTCAGATATAATGGCTTCTCCCTTAAAGCAAAAGCGAAAACAATGGAGTGAGAAAGATATGGAAAACGCCATTGTACAGTAAGAAACCAAAATATGGGTTATTTGGCCGCAGCAAGAGCATATAAAGTTCCACGCTCAACACTTTTTCGCCTCTGTAATACTGAAGGGCCTCCAGCAACTGTTAGTAAAACGAAGTTGGGTAAAAGACCAATTTTGTCAGCGGAGTTAGAAGAGGAACTAGTACGATATTTACTTATAATGGATCAGAAGTTTTTTGGTCTGACAAGAAGGGATGTTCGATCCTTAGCATTTCAACTTGCTAAACGTAACAATATACCACATCCATTCTCTCTTTTACGTGAATCTGCGGGAAAAGATTGGTTTTCATCATTCATGCACAGGCATAAGAATACACTAAGTTTACGAAAGCCCACTGGAACTTCCCTAGCAAGAGCCGTTGGTTTTAATAAGGAAAACGTTACCGAGTTTTTCGACTTATTAGAGAAGAAGGAATATTTTTACAGAAGAAGAGTTTGCGGCCGAAATGCAAAAGGAAAATCAAAATTTGCCGAACAATAACACACGTGCTCATAACGAGCAAAATAACTCGCCTAATGTTTATCCTAGTGACATAGTTCCAGTCCCAGAACTAACAAAGAAGCTCGCAACTCGGGGAAGGAAATGTGGGCGTACTAAAATAATTACGTCGACGCCCAATAAGGAGGAATTAGAGCAATCAATTAATCTCTCAAAACAAAAAGTTATCCGAAACGTTTTCGATGAACCTGGACCTAGTGGATTAAAAAACAAAAAGCGTAAAGTCACAAAAAATATGTCTCCTCTAGTTCTTCTGATTCACAATCTGAAGCAGTAGTTGATGACTCATCTGATGAAGATCTGCCATTAAGCTGCTACAATAAAAAGCCAACCGGTGAAGATGTCCCATGTATTTTTTGCCTGGAAAGGTTTTCCTCGAGCCGAAGTAAAGAAATATGGGTGCAAAGCGTAATCTGCTATAATTGGGCTCACGAAGCTTGTACCAGTGCAGAAAAAGATGTTTTTGTTTGCGATTTTTGCGATTCCTAGATATACTTAGATATACTTATATATATACGAGTATACCGATGTTCTGAAGTTAAATGGTTTTAGTTTTTTGCGTATAATAAGTCTATTCCATATTACCCTATATGCCCGTTCCATATTACCCTCCATTTTTTATTTTCCAACAAAAATGCATTTTTTTAAAATGTTTTCGTAAAATTATCGAATATGATTTAATTTTTAATTTAGCACCTGCCACTCTTTGGAGATACTTAGAACTATTTATTAATGAAATATTGCAGCTGCAAACACTTCAGTTTTGATGTTACCGCTATACGAATAATTGGTAATCGATATATTTATTACTCTACCTCTGAAGCGGGGTGATTGATGTTTAGGAAGTCGATCTTGGCAGCGGAGCAATCAAATAGGTCAGACGAAGTCACACAATGTTCTTCCGGTCTGATTCCAAAGACACGTCTCTGGAACAGGAAAGACTGCTGCGGACAAAAGCTACAACTTCCCCGTTCTTTCTCAGATTGGAGTGCACCTCGTAATTTGGGAAGCTAAAAGCATGGCGGGATGATTAGATTGCAGGTAGTGATGAACAGCATCAATGTTGCTGTTAATCCTGTACATGTTACACCCGGGATTCTTAGTATTTGAGGGAACCATCGTCATTAATTTCTTTGTTGGGGAAGATAACCGACTGCCTAGCTTAGGTACGGAAACATGTGGACATTCATAAGACACCCTGGAAACAGCTAGCAAGTGGTATACCGCCTTTGTCGACTGGTCGTTCTTTTTGCGAGTTAACTATGTTAAATAGACCTAAAAGTGGCCCATTGGCGGACTTGTACCTCCACCTAGAAATCGGTACTGCGGTATTCCTTACCGCGTGTACAATCACTTGAATGGGAAGAAGTTGTATACTGAATACAACAACTTCCGAAACAAGCATTTGCAACGGCCAAACGGAATAAGCATATTCCAAAATAGAACTTACTACACAGCAGGCGTCTCTTAAAGAAAAAATGTTTTTAAAATCCTTCATTGTTCGAACAACAAACCCCAATCGATTCATTACCTTTTTGATTATACATTCAGAATGATTTTCAAAACAATGATTATGATCTATAACAGGGCTGTCCAACTTAATGTGGCCCAAGGGCCACTACAAAAAAAAATGCAGTTTGGAGGGCCGCATTATAAAATCTTTCTATACAACATTATTACTGAGTTTTAATAGGTATATACTATACTATATATGGTATACATATATTATGTATACATGACCCGTGAAGCGGGCCGCAAGAAAGGAGTTCGGGCCATATGTTGGACAGCCCTGATCTATAACAATCCCGAGGTCTTTTATAGTTTTTCTATGATTACAGATTCAAATTGATAGTTAAAATTAATTGTTTCATGTATCTCATAAAAACTCATGATCTCATACCTACTGATATTCAATTATAGCGAATACAGCGAATAAAATTAATTTCTTCTTGAAGTTTATCACAGTCAGTTGGCGAATGATTGCTTTGCTGATTTTCAGGCTATCAGTATTCAGAATATCACAATTTCTCACAAAATCTTACAGATCGTCTATAAAACAATTAAACAGAAGCAGATGGATACAGCTTTGAAAAGAATTGAGATTTCTTTTTAAAATATGACGTATGGAGGACATTGTCAAATTTTTTAAAAAATAGCTGTTACGTTCAAGGTGTTTGCAGACTAGCGCAATTTGTTTCACCTTTAAGTTATCGGACAGCATTGAGAATACCAGACATGTAAGAGTTCTTAGAAAAGGTTGAATGCATTATGATTCTCAAGAAAATTGTGACGCTAATACTCAGTATCAATACTGGAAACCTTACACTGAGCAACTGAGCACAATTCTGCATACGCTGGTCTGTCTGACCTACTGTTTTTAAGTATAGATAATATACATAAAGGCAGCGGAATGAGTAGCCATAAAAACAGTGAACTTTGTAACAAAATACACGTAGTGAGGCGCATGCAGCTGTATATCTTTCGAATTCTCTGAAATAATTAGGATAATAATACGCGTTCCTCCCAAGTTTGTGCACGCGAACTGTGGTCACTGACACTTCACGTAATGTAGGCACATCAAGAAAAGTCTTTGCGATCTGAACCTTTTGACTGATTTGTCACCCTACTTTGCTTCTTTGAGCTTTTGTCCATGATGCCACACCAATGCGTTCTAGGCCTGGTAAGAACACGAGCGAGGCTACTGCTTCTCAAATCCTAATTCGGTTGCTGCGTTCTGTGGAGAGCTGGCAGGTACGACCGCTCCTTTGTGTGTACCTAGGGCATTGAACATGTGGAACAATCTATCATTTTTCTATAAACCTGAGCCAATTCTAAATTACCCGGCGGTAATAAAGAACATAGAGTTTTCCAAATATTATAGTTTAGTCATTTGACCATTTTATCTGGAAAGTTTTGGAGAAGTTTTGTAACGATCATTTCTACAGGGTGTTCCTTAATGATATGCGAATATTTAAGTGTGTGAATCTACACGAAAAATTAATGTTAGTTTGCTTTATAGTCTATGGTCCAAAAATGTTTCCTTATAAAAACTCGGGGTGTTGAAGTTTTAGGAAAAAAATGGAAATTAATTAATATTTTGAGATCCGCTTCAGATATTTCACTGATATTTAGCATATTTTGAAAGTTAATAAAGGTGCATATTTTTCAATGCAAAAATAATTTTTAGGTTTAACAGTGGCGTGCGTACGGGTATTGACTTCAATATTTTTTAAGAAAAAAATGATACGCCAATGGTTTTTTGCCATTCAATTTGTAACAAATAATCTCTCTTGAATTGTTTTGTTTCGATGCGCCATTTTTGATAAAAAATAAAAACCGTTCTATGATCCGAGAAAATTAATGTATTTTTTTTTATTCTTTTTTATACTCCAACTACCACAAAGGCCTAAGGCCTAAGCACCCATTGGGTACCGTGGGGCAATAGGGGGATACATGGGAAAGGGGGGGACGCCACACGGACTCTGGCGAGGGAACACGTGTGCATGCAACATGCACACATTCTGGCTCCGCCTACGAGAACCGCCGGGTGGTACCTCCGCGTTGGACAGTCAGAGACCATCTACCACCTACGGACAATCACAACATCCATAGCCAAGAGAAAAATTTCTCCTGGGACGGGACTCGAACCCGCACAGCGCACGGCGACTGATCAGGAGACCGAAGAGTCTACTACTGCGGCCACCGCTGCTGCCTTAATTGAAGAATGCAATTTAGCAACAAATATCTAGTTGCTCTGGAATATGTCACTGGCTTTTGACATTTGACAACTCTCTGTTATTCAAATCTGTTCGCTGTGACGTCGTTTTCATTATTTAGTTTTTACAATCTTGTTAATGATGGTGAATTATTCAAATACAAAAATGGCGGAAATGCATTACTTATATGGCCTTGCCGACAGTAATGGTGAGCAAGCCAGAGATATCCCGATCGTGCTTTGCCAGATAGTCGAACCTTTTCTAATATTCATCGTCGTCTTATTGAAACTGGTTCTGTCTGAAAAGGAACATCTGAAGGTAGACCTCTAAGTGTGAGAACACCTGAAATTGAGGGAGCAGTGCTGCACGAAGTCGAAGAACATCCTGAAACGAGTACGAGGAAGTTCGCTAGACACTTAAATATTTGCCATCAAATTGTTTGGAGAATTTTACTGGATTTTTTGTTATATCCTTACCATATTTTAAGAGTACAGGCATTACTTTACATTGATTTTCCAAGGCGTGTGACCTTTTGTCAGTGGTATCTTCAAAAAATTACATACTCGTAAAATCATTTGTGGGCAGAAGAAAATCCCTATGCCGTAATCGAAACACATTTCCAACACCAATTTTCGGTTAACGTATGGGCAGGAATTATTGGCAACCGTTTTATTGGCCCATTCTTCTTGCCGGGACGACTTGACGGACAGACTTTCTTCAAAAACAGTTGCCTTTGCTGCTTGATGATGTTCCGTTAGTAATAAGAAACAATATGTGGTACATGCATGATGATGCACCAGCGCATTTCAGTGTAGCGGTTCGTGAATATTTACAAACTGTTTATCCAAATCGTTGGACTGGCCGCGGTGGACCCCAAGCATGGCCACCAAGGTCCCCAGAGCTCAACAGTTTAGATTTCTTTTTGTGAGGATATTTTAAGACACTAGTGTACACAAGTCTCATTAACACTGTAGAGGAATTAAGAGAAAGAATAGTTGCAGCTTGTGATAGAATAAAAAATACTCCAGGGATATTTCAACGAGTGCGCAATTCCATGAGAAGGAGGGCGGAAGCATGTATGCTAAATGAAGGGGGCCATTTTCAACAATTTTTGTAATCATTTCGTTGGTTTTAATGTTATGTTTATGTTGTCAGTTGTTGTTGTTTATTACCCCTAATATGTTTAATTTTTCCAATTAAATCAATAATAATTTTCCAAGTTAGTCAGTAGAACGGTTCAGTTAAATTCAATAGAGATCATTTGTTTTAAATTAAACGGGGAGTTCAAAAATAAGTTTTATTTGGCAAAAAACCATGGGTGTACTATTTTTTTCTTAAAGAATATCAAAGTCAATACCCGTACGCAAGCCACTGTTGAAGCTAAAAATTATTTTTGCATTAAAAAATATGCAGCTATATTAACTTTCACTACGTACTAAATATCAGTGAAATATCTGAAGCGGTTCTGAAAATATTAATTAATTTCCATTTTGTTCCTAAAACTTCAACACCCAGAGTTTTTTTAAGGGAACGTTTTTGGACCACAGTTCATAAAGCAAACTAACATTAATTTTTCATGTAGTTTCACACCGTTAAATATTCGCATATCATTAAGGAACACCCTGTATATGTGATCATTCCAAATTTTTCACTTTGTTACTTCCACGACTAGTACAATTTTCAAAAACTACAAAGCCTCTTGGTCCATAGTGGTAAGCTGGTTCCAAAATCTCATCAAAATCTGAGCAGTTATTCCAAGTTGTACAGGGTTTTCTCAAAGACGGGACTTTACTCAGTATATAGATCTTTTTCCTAGTGGCATGTACACCAAAGTCTTAACATTACCGAGACATTAGGCTCCGCAAACATCAGCACGTACGATGCGCGTCAATACTCAATCTAGACGCTGGCCCTGTTGGTAAGCAAAACCTTTACACATCGGTTCTAAAAAGCAAAACAGAAATAACACACGCATACAGCAATATCAGAGTTATCCATATTATTTTAATTCACGATGAGTGTCTTCGAAATGCTACCGAGGCATCGCGAGTGCAAGGAGATCGTTTTATGAAACTGAGGTGAACAAGGTTGGCGAACTACCTGTCACGTGCCAAAATCACGTAACCTTTTTTATTCCATTTTGATCACTTACCAGTAATTTGAATTTCTCTTTATTGATTATCGAGTGCCGATTCCTAGGCCAAACCCTTTGAAATGATTTTGTTTTGGCAAATTTCATAGTTTATTGATTGTATAATTTCACACGTATTATATCTTTCTTTCTGAGCGACTCAGTATTGTGTTGAAATCTTTTGGACACTATTGTTATAGTACATATTATTAACAAATATCTCAGAAATTGCCTCATAAAATATTGTTGGTCTCTCGTAGAGAGTTGGTTCTGCCCATTCGCAACCAGCGCGTCACCTAGTGATTTCTACACCTACTAGCCGTATATGAATATTTGCTTTCCTATCAAGATACCTTCTTTACCTATCAAGATATCTTGTTTTAAAAACTTGTCTCTATAGGCGGGGCAGCGCCATATTGCTTTTGCTTTTCGTTGTGGTTTTGGTTGGGTGTTAGCGTTGTTTCGTTTTAACTTCCAGATTCTGGGATACTAATACCAGTTTATGGAGCAGTACCCTTTTATTTTGTATCTTACGTTTAGTTGTGTTAGTTTGGGTGTTTTTTCTAATAGCATTTTCACCTTCAGCTGTAAGTTCTTTTTTGTATACCATCGGACCACGTCCATTAATGCATGTCTTGAAGAAGTTTGTTCGATATCTGTTTCCCTTTGACATCGACAAGCACCGATAATGTTTTGAACTCAGACCATCGACCAAGTATTCGTTTAATTGCCCAGATGTTAAATTTACGAAAATCTGTGGTTCATGACATTGTGACACAGCATTTGAACATGCGCAAGGCGTGCTCGAAGATGGTCCCAAAAGTGCTCACTGACGACCAGAAATTGCGGCGAGTGAAAGTGTGCCAAGAAAACATGTGTGAAAGTGACCCCCAATTTATGAATAACGTAATCTCAGGTGACGAGTCGTGGATCTTTGAGTATGATCCCGAGACAAAGAGGCAATCTTCCGAGTGGCACACGGCGGCGTCTCTTCGCCCAAAAAAGGAAAGAATGAGCAAATCCAAAGTGAAAACGATGCTCATTGTCTTTTTTGATATCAAAGGCATCGTCCACCATGAATTTGTTCCTCCTGGACAAACCGTCAACGCCAAGTTTTACGTGGAAGTGCTCAGGAGACTCAAACGAAGGGTCAGTCGGGTCCGACAGGACTTCGCAGCCGACTGGAAGTTGCACCACGACAACGCCCCGGCTCACACCGCCTTTCTTGTGAAGAGCTACCTGACCAAGGCCGGCATCCCAACGCTTCCGCAGCCGCCCTACAGCCCAGATGTGCCCCCCCGGATTTTTTTTTGTTTCCCGCCTGAAAAGGCCGATGAAAGACAAGCATTTTGAGACGACAGAGGGGATCCAAGCAGCATGCACCGCGGCTCTCAAGGCTATTCCGGAGAATGCCTTCCGTGACGCCTTCAATGCTTGGAAATCGCGCTGGCAGCGCAGCATCGACGCAGAAGGAGCTTATTTTGAAAGTTTTTAAAGAATTGTAGCGATTGGCTCAATAAATTTTTTTAAATCGACTCAGTCCTATTACTTTCCGGACAAACCCTGTATTATAATATTTTTGTGAGATGAATGGTTACGTCGTACTGACGTAGCAATTTTTATTCTAATAGGTTTTTGGCTGTCATTCTGTTCCAACATGTTGATACACAATGTAGCAGAGTAAAAACTTGATAAGGGCACGTCAAAATGTACAAATGCATTGATTTTTTTTAAAGCTTTCCCAAAACCGAAACTATGAACTACTAAATATACAGATTGTAGGAATTTTCATCTAGTTTAGTTTGTCATAAAGCCGTTTCTATTGTATGTGTCGAACTGGAGGTATTGACTAAAATTGTTTTTAGATGCCATTTTCGGCGGCGATAAGAGGCAGTAAAGTGATAATTCAAAAATATCACACCGTAGTCTATATTTACCTCAACGTTTTTAAACTTCCCTAAAACCTTTTCAGCTAGCGTATATCTACAGCTGAAAACTTCCACGCAAGAAGACATTGAAAAAACTATATGGACATCAACCTTTTCAAGTTTCGCTAAAACCTTCCAGGCAAGAAAAGTAAAAAGTTATATTATATAACTTTTTACAAATTCCACTTAAGTTCAGTCCCCATTCTGGGAACTAAATAATCAAACAGGTATTATACATGTATTTGTTCCACCTTTTACAACGAGTTGCTTGTAACAAATCTTCTCAGGCAGTGAAGCAGCATACAAAGGCTAAATAAGCTAAATAAAAAGAAAGGCTCTTGATGTACCAACATCAAGACGGAAGATGCATAACAATGAACCTATTAACAATTATACCACGGAATTATTTTCAAATAGTATCTTGGCAATTAGCATAAGCAGGTAAAACATCGGAAATGCGTTCCCAAAGAGATAAAAGCTATTTATTTACACACCTGCCACTCACCATGATTAAACAAATAAAACCAATCGTGAGGTCCGGACTCGGGGCCTGGGGCCCGCCTTTACACCGCACAGAATATATACATTAAAGGGCGGCATATCTGTGCCATATCTTGCTGTTGACACACTTTACATATACCAAGACGTTTGGGCACGTTGAAGAAAAAGGGTTACGGGTCCGTCGAAGCATCGACTAACGCATTCTACCTGACTGAATTGAAGAGATTTGACCAATAAGTGCTAAAGTCAGAATCAACTCTCATCAGTTCATAATTACTAATATAAATGAGGAATGAGGATGTTTGTTATTCAATTACGCAAAAACGGCTGAACGGCAGAGGTATTGCATATCTTGTAAAGTGACATAATGTCGGTTTTTTTGACATTTTATAGGTTTTTTGTGACATTATGTAGGTTTTTCTTCAAGATGTCAACTTAAAACCAGCTATTGTTCACTTGATGCGCACTCGTTTTGAAGCTGCATGTGTTGCCTAAACGTCATGATGCTTCAGCTATCAATGTTTGTCTTTGATGTGACGTAACATCTGCTTCAGAGATGACTTTATCGCAGGTGAAGCAGTAAGTTGTATACTATAGCTGGAAGGAAACGGCAGTGCACAGGTGTATAGTGAGAATTTGTCTGGTAATAATCTGTGTTAATGACAGTTCCCTTAGTTTTTTGTCTCAAATACACTTACCTGAGTGGAATGCTACATCCTGGAAATTATATATACATATGTGACGAATTTAAAAAATGAGAGAGATTAAAAAGAAAATCCATTCTTGATGAATTAAATTACAACTACTAACAGGCGAGAAAATAGGCTACCGACAGGACTATTTATGAAATGTGAAAAGGTTATTACATATTATATTATTTTTTTCATAGTCAAGTAGAAAATACAAATCAGCGCCTAGAGGCACTGCGAAAATGTTTGTGTCTGATGCGTCGCCAATAATTTTTCTGTGATGTGGTTTAATTACACATAACGTGCGGACGGTGGTGATTTTTCGTAATGCTTCTGTTTGCTGTTTTTGAAAACGCAAAAACGGGGTAAATTGAAATTTATAACCAAACCCGTCTGGTACAGCATAGATATACAGGTACTTCACGGCAGCATATTCAGTAATAATTTTCTCACATAGCAAATATCACTGATTTCATACACATGCAGATCAATACACACAATCACTATACAATTATGCAAATGCGATCCTGGCATTCAACCAATTTTGAATTTTCTGTCACATCTTTCCAGTGATTTACTCTACAGACTATCACTGCATTCTTAAACCAACAAAGCATGCTGGGGACCTAACTTGCAACTTGCAGCATGGTCATCGAGCGTGTCGTGTCATTGAGCCATTCCTTCATAGATGACGCTTCTGGTGACGCTCACAGCGTTCATAGCAAACAAACGCGGAATGAACTATTTGGACACTAGGAACTATCTAGGCAGCAAGTTGACAGTTTGTCGTTTTTTGACATTATGTAGATTGTAGTATGGAAAGGAGACAGGCTATCTTTTATCCGGCACGGGTATCACGTATCTTGAAAAGTAACATTATGCCGATTTTTTTGACATTATGCTGTTTTTTGACATTATGCTGGTTTTCCTTAACTTAGCATTTAGTTTTACGTGTTGCCTAAACGTCATGAGGCTTGTTATCAATCTTTGGCTCTGACGTGATGTAAAATCTGCTTCTAAGATGACATTACTGGAGGTCTAAGCTGTTAGTTGTATATGTTTATGATAATTACATTGGGTTCTTTTTTCTCAGAGATAAAAACTACAGACAAGGACCATTTGGCCTCACAAAACACAGGCAACCAACAATATGTGTAGTTTAGTTGAGCGATTCCTCCTTAGATGGACGTTCACAACGATCCTAGTGAGCAAGCGTGGAATGACTGTTTGCGCCCTAAAAACTACCTGGTTTGCAAGATGACACCTTATAAGTTTTTTGACGTTTTATAGGTTTTTTACATGATACCCGTGCGAGTAAATACATTTTAAATATCTATTTCACAAGCACACTTCAAACAGATTGATGGGATTTGATATCAGGTATTTGGTGCGGAAACGCTCAGCCCTTGGTCCGACTTAAATCAGTAAGGATGTAATAAATAGGTCGTTTAAAGTATTGTCTTTAATTTTCTATGCACATACGAGGCTTAGCCAGGTAGTTGTAGTGGTAATGCGTCACTGGGGCAATGTTGAAACCAAAACAGATACCTGGGGATCACCGGTCTTGATGTCGGAGATCAAGAAAGGACAGCATTTTTAACAGTTAAAATAGATTGTTTACATCCATTTTTCAAGGTTATCCTCGTTTTATCGATTATGTTGGAAAAAACTCATCTGGAATTAGTACATCTGAAATGGACCTCAAAACCTCTGTGTATTTCTCGCCAAATGATTCAGGATGAATCTTGTCTATGCAGCTTAAGTCAAGCAGTTGTCAACAGAAAATAAAGGCTCCTTTCATCTGACAAAGGCCTAATCTCTGGCGGGTCGCATACTAAAGATAAGCTGTGGAAAAACGTATATCGTCACTCTAGAGGTTATTACATACACAGGACGAAATTCTACGTTATAACGTTGGTGGTCAAGTTTTGCCACTTCTCGTTCATAGAAAAAAATGGCCTCAAGTAGGTTGGCTCTGCACTTCCTACGCAACATCGTCTCATCAGTTCATAAAAGCAATTTAAATCCTATGAAAAAAGCTAGTAACGAACATGTACAACAGAGAAATTAAATGAATCCATAGACATTTTTTCCCAGCCCTACCGGTAGTTACTGACTATCTGCGCGGCAGCACCGCTTCAGCAAGTTATCGTTTATTCCTTGTAAGTCTTTTATGCGCTACAGTACGGATAGAGTCAGCCGGACCGGTACGCCGGGCAGGCGTATGCGAATCGAAAACATTGCTCTGTCATTCTAGGCTTTAAAGATAAACGTACGGGGAAATACGTATATGATGCGTGAAATATGGCTGATAGGTGCACATAATTACTACTACAGACAGACAGACGGAAATGAGTGACATGATTTTTCATGATGTACATGTCATATAACATCCAAACACAATAATAACTCATTTCTCTTAATGCTTCCACGTCGAGTGGCGTAGGAAGGATTTATGAATGCAAAATATTTGTACTGCGTCGAACTAAAAGCTATGTCATGTATTTGATTCTACCAATTCTCGATCGTTGGGACATTGGATCTACAGGTCAACTAACTGTTTCATCAAAATTATACTCTACCTTCTTGAAACGATAAATTAATCTTTGACTGCAACTACCTTGCCTCCTTGATATACCCTGAGAAAGTAGAACCCCATTCATAATCCTCATATTGATTCTCGAATCTCAATGCAAACACACCAGTACCCATGTCTTCCATCTTCGCTAAGCGTCACAAAAAAGGATAACGTGCTTTATATCTTTTTAATTGCGATTTTGCAAGCTCGGGACGGCTCTTTAATGCGAAATAAATTGTATCAAAAATGTGCACGAATATGTCATTACTCTCTCTGACATTACGCTTCCTGAGCACTCTAAAAAGTTGTGAATGCTTTCGGTAATGTTGTGCAAATGACTGTGCTAAGGTATTATTATGATTTTGGTACATGCGGTGAGGAATAGTACATTGACTCAGGCTCAGACTCATATTTTTTGGTTTCCTATGAAAAAATATCAGAGACTCTGATTGGACAAGCTTGTCTCTTGATTGGATCCGACGCGTAATATCCAAATCCTATTCCAACTTTATGCTAGATGATCCCGAACGACCAATTTTTGTTATCAAATTCGGCCCCACAAACTACCACAAATTTTTGACGGCCATCTTCGTATTTCGCGCCCCAAATCACTTGAGTGTATCAAGAGAGATTTTTTCGCGAGATCCCGTAGTGAACCGGAGCGGGAACAGATGGAATTTCCCCTTCCCCTCGAAGTTTTGACAGTTTCAAGTTACACCGGGAGTGGTTAGATGTTGCGCAAAATGTTTGCTTTAAGCTCCTTGATAAACTTAGCTGCCTTGTTTGAATCTGAAATAAAAAACCGATCGTTTTTTGTGCAATGTACATATAAATCAATCATTTGATATGACAAGTGCGGTTCATACATCTTCGATGACCTTCTCCCTCGTCATTTAAAATCAGGTGGACGTGTTCCCCCATTTATGATTTAATGATTTAACTCAATTTTCAGCACTGCGAAGACACATTTTCAATTGAGATGCCTGTTTTTTAAATACCATTGACATAAGACCTGTCACCTGCTAGTACCTCACAGACGTTAGGCGGGTACCCGTACCACGAGATTTTTTGACATTCGAACGACGTCACATCCGTCTTCCCCTATTCCCGTTTTTCGCGAAAATTTGAGCATCGATTCCCGGTAGTGCATTGTGCTATACCGTGGACACGCGAAAAAATCCTTAAGTTAGGCTTCTGTAAAATGTATCGAAATAGCCATTGATTCTCTCGCGTTTACAGTTCACATGAAATAGCATTGCAGTAGGCGGAGCTTGTGAAGTACACATTTCTGCCCCTAGAGGCGTACCAGTTCAGTGCCATCTGGCTTGTTTGGTTCCCCTGCAGTCATTATTTTTGCTAGAGCTGTTTCCTGCTTGTTTT